GGGATGGGATGGGATGGGATGGGATGGGATGGGATGATCAGTGGATGTCAGTGTCTGTGGCTGTTTTTATTGTTTGGTTTTGGTAGCACCATTTCAGCCCCACTTTAACATTCTGTGGTTGAGAAAGGGCTCTCTGAGCTGCAGAGCTGAGGCTGTCCCAGTAGCAGCTAAAATGATCCCAAGGACTCTTTCAAATATTCTTTCTCTATTAATTGCCAAAGTCAAAATATTTGTTTCTTGGTTTGTAACAACGTGCTGCTATTCAATCTTTTGTGTACTCAGTGTACTCAGCAATACCAAGATCAGTTTTCAGCTTTTCTTTAACACTTTTTGAGCCTTATTTATAATGCAGATAAAAGCCACATAGCCACGAGGAGAAAAAATGTTCTGTGTTTGTTCTCATGTAATTAGTACAACTTATTTTTCTATCCTCATTCAGAAACAGCTGCTTAGCTGTCTCATTATTAATAATATTTTGKTTTGTGCATGTGTTTTTTGGAAGGACAAAGTAATTAACATTAGTCCTAGATTTCTTTCCTTTTTTTTTCCAGAGGGAATGTTTTGTGATTTAACATCCATCTAATCTTTCTATTCAAGTAAAAACAAACTCTTAGCTCACATAAATTACAGAATCTAGAACTGTTTTCTTAAGGTACCATTATATAAATATTAGACTGCATTAGTTAGAATCACAGAGTGTAATTTAGATTTCTTTTTGGTAAGGCATATGCTTTGAATTTAAAACTGCTGTTCTACTTGAGTGGTCCTGAAGTAATGAGATTACAGTTCTGAGTGAAGATTATAATGAAGATTAGTTTTACATTGTTCTTTAGTCTTGGACCATGTTGTCCTTCAGTTGTTCTTAAAGTCTATGGAAGATGAGGGAAGTAGACAAAAAAAATCTTATCAAGGCTTTGAACAGCAGAATTTTTTTCTTATTTAACATATTTACCAGGCCCAGACCCCATGGCATAATAGAAAGTTGCCAAAATGTTCCAGTTGTGGATGAGGGTGATAAACTGCAGGAAAAAAAGGGATGGCAATGGTGATACGACACCAGTTTTATCACTGGTTTGCCTCACCACTTGTGGCACAAGTGAGGGCTTCTCAGAACAGCCAGGAGTTGCCAAAAACACTTAATTCTGTCATTTTCTCTCRACCCAGACCCATGCAGTGAAGAAGGGAGGCAGGTGATGGCAGAGAGCAGAAGTTCTCCTGTGTCCTGAGAAGTGCAGACTCATCCTCCYGTCCTGTGGATTGACTTTCACGGTCAGAGAAAGGTACAAGTGCTGTACCTCCATCTAAATGCTTCTCTAAGCAAAATACATTCAACAGCATAAATAATTRAACACTAKAAACAAATTGGAAATAAAAYAGCCTAATAGCAAAGGATGTAGGATACTTGTACTGCATTAGAACAGATCAGGTCTGAAGCGACTGAATTATGCTTGGTCAGGAAGAGAGGGGCAATCAATACTGTGGAGCAAACCCTAAGTAATCCAGATACCACAGAGTCAATTTTTCTGCAAGGACTGGTCTCAGACTGTGTCTCAGGCAGTGTGGGGAGAGTGGAGAAAATTATATTAAAGACACCCCTAAGCTGCTGTCAAAATTTTTCTGTGCCATCTGCAGCATATCTTGGTGGTAATTTGCAATGATTGGACGTTGCTGGCGAGTGTTTTAATATCGCCTTACAGCCATGAGGTCCTGCTCCCTGCAAATAAATCCCCAAGGACACAGTTTTCCATCAGTTCCCTCACACAACTTTGGGTACAGTAAAACAAGGTTTACGTTAATTCCTTTGCTACGTACAGTGCTGTGAGAAGTGTGTCTGTGTGTTTTGAACATTTTCAATGAAGCAAGATGTTTTTATCTCTTTTTTTTTTTTGCTGCTCTTGCAGTCTCCCTGGGCGGGTGCGTGGCCCCGGAGCTGCGCTGTGTCTGCAGCTCTGGGAGCTGGAGGCTCGGCCGGCTGCTCTCCCTTTAACGTTCCGAGTGCCACCGTGTGGTGATTGCTGCGAGAATTCCTATTTTTAATTGCAGTCGTTGCAGTCAGGGCATCGTTCGCGGCCCGATGCATTCTTTCCACCGGTGACCTCTGTTTATTAAATAATTCTGCGATGTTCTCAGGTTTTCTTCTCCAGACTATTTAGTGCAGGTGGTGCAGGTCCTTTACCTCTTGTTGTGCTTCCCACATCGCAGCAGAAAAGCCTCGTATGCTCAGAGGTTGATTGATTGATTGATTGATTGATTGATTGATTGATTGATTGATTGATTGATTGCTGCTTTCAGTTTATTCACTCGGCTGGGCTGAAGATGGAAGTCGTGTCCTTTTTATGTCTGTTGGGCAGATTAAAGCTCTGTGATAGGAACTATTTCTACAGGGAGATTTTAGATTCCCAATCTAKCAGTCTGACAAAAGGAGCCATGGGACATCACCTGTCTGGGGACACCAGTTCAGGCATGTATTGGATACTGAGATCTGCTGCACTTTTAACCTGATCATCAGTGCTGCTTAGCTAATTGTCTTACTGCTAATTTAATGAGAGTAGAGTTGACACTGCCCTTCTTTCATGCTCATCAAAACACTGCCAAGTGCTTGGATATATTTTTGTTCTTTTAGTTTTAAAAATTGATTTTTTTCTCTCTAGTAATAAGCAAAAATTACCTGATTTGTATTTGTAGACATTACAAGCCCAAGATTCACAGAGAGATGTAGCACTCCATTGGCTGAAAAACAGACAAAACTTAAGGTATGCAAGCTTTTGGGGAGTGATGTTGACAAAAATCTTAGAAAATAAAATATGGATTGAAAAACTTAGTTCCAAGTTTAGCTTCTATAAGTCAGATAATTGGGGAGATAAAGGGGTCAGTACTTRTGGAACAGTGAGGAAATGTTGGCACAAAGGAAGGTGATGATATAATTAACCCCCAGGAGATACAGAGATGTGATTATTGGTTTTGGGATTATAACCTGCCATAAACCAAATCTCTCCATTGAATCTATAATACATATAAATTATCCTGTAATTGTTAGGTTCTTAAACTCAGGATTAGGACGTCAAAGGTCACAGATAAAGTGGTTATTTTTGTAAGAAATCACCTCCTTTATTAGTTTTCTGTAGGACCACACACTGGTGAACATGTTGGAGCTTTTCTGCAATGATTTATACAAAAGCATTCAAAATTGTGTGATAGACCAAAGGTAATGCACATTCACTCAATCTTTTTAATTTGATAAAGACATTCAMTGTGGGTTCATGTCAGCAAGTGCTGCATTCATGYTCTTGCAGTCTGGCATCAACCAGTGCCTGGTGGTCTGCCCGAGGCCTCCTGCTGATGCTGAACAGAGTGAAGTTGGATGATTTGCAAGCTCAGAGCTCTGCTTGGGTAGCAAACATAAAACAAGGAAGAATACATTCTCTTGGCAGCATAATTCAGGTAACTGAGTGAATTTTAGAAAGGTATACATGGTCCAATAGACATAATTTGTCCTAAACTGAAGAACACTGCAGTTCTTTTTTTAAAAAAAAAAAACAACATGGAAGTACTATTGTTCCCACTTCAAGAAGAGTAATTTTAAAGTTGTATAAAATTTTTAAAGAATTGGGGATAGAGTCATTCTKGGTCCTCCTCTTTAAGCAACAGAACATCCATTTTCCAACTGTGCACTGAAAGGTTGAATTCTGCTTCAGGAGCTTTTCCCAGACAGCTGTCATTTATCCACACTGACGTATGTAAATTGCTTACAGTTTAAATGGGCAAAATCTGAGGAAGAGACCAGATTTGCCAGTTTTTATTGTTCCCCAAATTCGTTAGGGCATTACAGAAATTATTATTTTATTGATCAAAATAAGAGAATACAAACATTTTAAGGAGAAAGTSGTATAAAAATGCATTACAATGCTCTGGACTAACCTCTACAGTTAGATCTACAAGGGTCCTATATTACATGGCAAAAAAGGCCTGTTACTCTCTAGTCAAGTTAGAAAAAAAGACAGTGAAAAAACCAGCATCAAATAGAAACATTTTCCTGCATTCCTACCTTCATTTGCCTGCACTTGCTGTATTTGAAATCAGCTTTCTCTTTCTGAAGTGCACTGGGGGAGTTTGTGAGAAGCTGGGACCAAGCTCCGAACCCTCTGGGCCCTGAATGTTGTCACAATAAATACTGCATGGTACTGGGAATAGTGGATAAGTACTGAGAGATTTTAGAACATTTACATTAGGTTAACAAGAGCTTTTTGTTTATCAACCACTGCCAAGTTAGAACTCCTGTGGAACAGTCAAACTCCCTCTTTCCTCTTATTCATTCTGCGGCTTAACTCCTGTGGAGAAGATGAAACCAGCTTAAATAGACAGTGGATTCTCTCTTGGCAGGGTTTTGATCCGTGACTTGTCTAGGAAAAGTTTGCTCCTGCAATTTAAACTCAAACCCATCAAACCAGTAACTTTGATATCCCTTCAGATCATAAAAGAAACCCTCTTTTTACACATAGAAAKGTTTCTGTATTACCAGCAGTGTATTTCTGCCCTTTAGAAGCGGCTGTGATTCATATCCCTTTCGAAAGAAGGAACTTTCAAAGGAATATGAATTTTGCTTTAGTCATCTTGCACGAATTAAGCATTCCCCTGCTTCCTCTTAGATCAACTTAAATCATTGGGGTTTGTTCCCATTTTGTTCTTAGCTGCTAATAACAGTTTTTAAATTGGGGGAAAGAAGTTTTAGACCAAAACTTTGCTGTACTATTCTGTTTTTCTAAAGTGCACGTGTGTACAACACCGTACTATGAGGTRTCACATCAGCTTAGAGTGCACATTTGTGGATTTGAAATCTAATGGAATCAGCTGCTTTAGTTCACTGCTTTGCAAAGGGAAAGTTTTAGGTTCAGTCCCATGATGTCCTTAGAGCAGTTGCCTACTTGTTCTGAAATACAGACACACATGGATACATGATTTGTCAAACTATTGCTGATCACACCATTTTCACAATTACCTGCTCTGCTGAAATCACGAAAATTGCCAGGCACAAGATTTAAAATTAATTACTTGTGACTTAGCTAGAGTTTACTAGACAAAAATAAAGCCTAAATAATCCCCTGTAGAACCTTGATAAAGTCACTGCAGGAACTTTGCACACTAAGAAAGCATGAAAGAGGAAGGCAGGGCCCCCATCCCTCCAGCTTCACAGGCAGGACTATTTGATTACACACTGAAAAAAAAAAGCCAAGGATTAATAAATTCTGTAAAGAAATAAGAATCACACAGAGAGGTAGTTGATACGGCTTCTCCATTTTTGGTATCATCTTTGCAGCTCTAAGAAAAAAGAATATGAGTAGGTTAGGAAGACACTGCTTTTCAATGGCTTGGGAGCAATAGAACAATATTTCAGGGAAAACTGTAGTCCAGGTTATGAGAACAGTCATGTGCCTACAACAAAATTGCCATATTAAGGCTGTTGTTACTAAATTTGATGYCAAATGAATCTTGGGAACTATACATTTTAGCAAGTGAATTTTGTTTCCCAAAATATTATGTATAACATSTGAAGTTACATGAATTAGACAACRGAATAAAAAACCCTCACAGGTACAGAGATGTGAAACACTTTTAGCACTGTAATTATTTGTATACTTATATTTGTGACCATAAGTGGTATTTTTCAAGTTGCCAAAACTGGATATTAAGTATGTCCTTGATTGATGACAAACTACACCGCCATATTTTATATGAATTTATTTCATTATTCCAGCTCAGTCCTCAAGGGATTTTGTGTATTTCTCATAGGCATCTTCGGTCATCAGTTCATCAAGTTCAGCAGGGTTTTCCACAGTCATCTTGATAAGCCAACCTGTAGTTAGGAAATGAAAAAGCAAGAGACTTGGTAATATCATACAAGAACAATTCATTCACATTATTGCCTCAGGAAAGCACCCCCAGCAGGAACAACCAGCCTTGGATCATTGGAGAATCAGCCAGGTTTTTGTGCAGGCAAAACAAAACGTCGGTATTTAAAAAAGAAGAACAACCAACCAAACCGTCACAAGAAAGGGCCTTTTGAGTCAGAGCAGTTGTGTAATTTAGTGCTGCCTCTGACAGTGGCATAAGGACATGCTGTCTGGAAAGAATAAAGGAACCTGACCTCTCWCTATCATGAACTSATASAAGATCCAAAACTCAGAAATGCAGTCAAGGGAAATAGATTTAAATTCAGCCACAGTGTATATCTGAACAGAAGATGCTGTAAAACCACTGCTCAAAGATAAGACTGTGATAATGCTCTAATGTTAAATTTTACTGGGCTTGAAYTATATTCAGTATATTCCATTTAAGTCTCCACACCATTAAACTGGAAGAACAAGAATTGCAGAGCCATTTGTAGTAGCAAAAATCCACAGTGTTCATTATTGAAAGATAAAAATGACATCTTACCATCTTGATAACAAGATTTATTGACAAGCCCTGGATTATCTGCAAGGGCAGCATTAATCTCAGTCACTTCTCCTGAGAGAGGGGAGTAGAGTTCACTAGCAGCTTTCACACTTTCCAAAGCCCCAAACTCATCTGAAACAGAGAATATGATTCAGTRTTTCTGAGGGRAAAACAYAAARYACTTCAAMTCTTTTAGTCAAACATTCTGGTGATGACCCAAACAATGAAGGARTATCTTGATCTYGAGCATCAAAACTGTCAAACAGATTGAAGTCGCTCACTTCATGACAAGGATCAGCATTATTAAATTTKATGTTTGTGCTCCTGAATTCTAGGGAATTTGTGCTAGCTGGTTGCTACAGAAGAGACAGAAATTCCTTACATTTGGTAAATCTTTTGCCTAAAGCCCCACAGCACATGATACGATACTGACTTAAAAGRAACAACACCCAGCTCTTGCTGTAAGAGACTTAAATATGCCTTTTATCTATAATTTAAACTTTTTCATAAATTGTTTGGTTACAAAATAAACACAGCCACAATTTCAGCAATCCCAWTTTTCCTTTAGAAACGCTATCAAGTGTTATATTTGCACTCACTGGAAACACACATTAGTATTCAGAAGCGCCACACTGGAAGCACCCAGYGGCTCTTCCCTTTTTCCTGTTTTGCAGGGAGTTATGGAAATGGTGCCTGGAGCAATGTTAGTCCAGAGCAGTTCTCAGCCACAAGCAAACAGGACAAGGGCTGAAGGAGCAGGGAGCTGTCAGAAGAGTAGATAGGCACCAGCACAAGGGATCTGAGAACAACTTGTTCCGGGAAAGCTTGGAATTAGACTGAGGCCARAAAGGGTAGAAAAGAGAAGAACTTAAATGGAAATGAAATTCCTTCAGATAAAGCAAAACTACAAGCTGGTTAATTAAAATCCTACACAKAGAGACCTTTTGTCTAACAGTCACCATTCAATGTAATAGATTTGGCCAAAACAGTTTGATAGGGATCTATCCCACAGGAAGGATGGCAGAAGAAAGGCCTTCTACTTTACTTCATAAACTTACATTCCTTTTTCAAAAATTGACTGAAGCTAATGACAATCTTTTCTTCATATACTACCAAGACAGCTCTCCATATTAATGCAGGAAAAGGCTTTTAATTTCTACCTGTTATGTTCACTTTCTTTAACAGGAAAAGTTACAAAATTGAATGATGAAGAATGTAATAATTTTTATATMACTAATGAGCAAAACTGTGATTACATTTGWTACCCCAAAATTAYSGRRKGTCTATATTTGTGGAGAAATTAGAKCTTRATATCAATTAGAAGTTTCACATGATGCAAGTCATAAAGTGTGTAACTGGAGAATTACAAACACTTGCAAGTCCAGATCAAAGCATAAATATTTTTAAAACAGAGTATAGATAAAATTATTACAAAAAATATTTTAAATACTTTTTGAAATTTTTTTTCACAATTTAATAGGCAGGTATTTTCTGCCACTAAACATGATCTGACGGTGAGCATTAGAAATTAAAGCTTCTCTTGTAGAAATGCCTGCATTTATTTTGCATCCAGAAGTTTATAATGGTACTGGTAAATATTATTTCAGTAAATCCAGCTTTGCAAAGGAAGAGTGGGATGAGTAGAATAATCACTTCGAGAGCAGCTAGAACTGAAACTTACCGTGTTTACTCAATTTTGTCCCAACTTCGGGAAGACTACAGTAAACAACATCTCCTAACGCTTCCTTAAAAGAAAACAAAAGAATCATAGAATAGTTAACAAAACTATACATAGGAGAGAATTGATACAGTAACTCTAAAATCAGCATATAAGTATTCTCTAAATGTTGTTCTCATTCTTTATGGATTGCTATTTTTCACTTTCTTAGCAAACACTTAAAATTAAAAACCTGTTTTGTTATCATGCCCCAAATACCAAATTATTATTTCTCTATTCAGTGTGAATAGCCCTCAGGCTCAGTTTACATGCAGATTTCTTCTGGCAGAATGAGGAATAACATCTGCTGATCTTCTTAGCATCAGCTACAGAGAGCTGTTAGGACACAATTTGTCCTTGCTGACTTAATTGGGATCCTTATCACCATAAGAATTGGCTCAACTCTTCCCTAACTTATGTACCCTATCTCACAGAAGAGCAGAGATCTCAGAGTATTTGTTATTGACAGAAAACTGAAATTAAAGGAAATGCTGCTTGTCCTGAGAAACATTAATTCCATTTATTGATGGTTTGTCCCGTTCATTTGTCTTAAGTTTCTCATACCAGCAAATCTCTGCCCAGAATTTGCCTGTGACTATTCCAAATCAAATACCTACATGAGAACAAAAATCCAAAGGAATTCCTAACCTAGAACAAGAAATAAATGTCATGCTGTACATCTGTTCACATCTGTTCTTCAGCCAGAGGGATTTCACCATATTTTTGTGTTCAAAGGAAATTTGACCTAAAAAAAACATGATGCCCTCTTCACACAGCCATGAATTCTGCTCAGGYTTAGACCTGAGCATCAAAGTTTCTCACTAAGTTCAGCTCTCCACAGGTTCAATCTGAAGCTATTAAGACCTTATCAAAGTGCTGAAGTAGCACAAATATCACAAATAATGTGGTAGATCCAAGTCCAAACAATCATGCTCACTGTGTCGCATATGCAATTAAAACAATAAAAAAACGTAAGTGTCCAAAGAGCAAGGACAGAGCAAATAGGCATAAATAAACATTGCAGACTTGGGCAAGGGGGASAATCAATACCTGCGCAAAATTGCTGATTCCTACTGTTCCAACACCATTTTCCACTGAYACCCATTCGTGCTTGTCTGTGAATTTGCGGGCTAAAAGGAAACACATTTGATATTTCAGAAAGAYGTGACATGTTGCTCGCTTAAATACAGTGACACATTTGCAAGCTTACACTGATGGGTTTTTCACTGAGTTTGTTCATTTTCTGGGATAATATTTTAAACAGCCCATACAATTTACAGAAGCACCTTGTTCTGCTCAGGACATGCTCAGTGGCAGGGCAGAGGCTCACTGGGTGTCCTGCTCAGACTATTGTCAGCTCCCGTGCAATCATCTGGAGACTGATTCAGTAAAAGAGCGAAAGGAACAGCTCTACTTCAAAAAGAAGTGCCAATCTAAAGTTTATATGTGTATTTTACTCATAGTTATAAATTTATATGATAGCATAGTGACTTTTCATATGTATCTAGTGTTTTAATTTTTGATAACCACTTTATTATGGCTGGGAAGGCCAGTGCTAATGACTCTAGAGACACTGTCAGCATTACAGCATCTTATTCAAAGAGTAAAATTCTCACACATCTATGTAAAATTAAGGCAAATTAATAAATGACAAATTAATAAGGGACTCACAGACAACTGCTACTTAACAGAACTGGCTCTCTGTTAATACTGTTACTGTGAGAAGAGCACAGTAATTACTCTATTATCATTTTAAAATAGGCCCACTTCAAAACTTGTGAAGTCTTTTCACAGCATTTTCAATGCAATCCTCCTTACATTTCAGATCTGTAAGATTCAAGTATTATTAGAGATTAAGATTTATTAGAGGTGATTTTTTTCTATAAAGTCATATGGARAAACTTTGAAAGAAATAACTGAAACAGGCAACATTTTTCTTGCAAACATTTCACCTGGAACTTTTCTTACTCTGAGCATTTACATCCTGCCWTGTCCATTTTCTCACTTCTATATAAATTCCCTGTAGATACCTTCCTATACTTTTTTTTTCTATTTTAATTAATTTATTTTTTATTTTCCACTTGCAGCACCCATCCAGACAGGCAGAGGATGTTGCAAAAGGTGGAAAATATAATTTCCAAAACAGCTTCCTGAGCRATTACTGCCACAGTAGTAGACCTGCACCTTTTGTTTGAGTTTAAAATTCTCCTCTCAAGCTCTTCCTGAGGCTGGACTCTTTATGGCAAACACCAGAGAAACTACACTTCTGCAAATCCTTGTATATTTTCTAAAATGGCACATGAAGAAACACAGTAGCTCTCACTGTAGACCTGCTAACATCTTTCCAGACAGTCAGTCAATATTTGRTGCTGCTTCAATTGCAGTGATCCTCTTATTCATCTCTGAAAGGTTCAAGAGTAGCAAGTCTCAGATAAAATGCTTTGTCTTAGAACAAGGCCTAACTTTTATAGAGCTCAGCAGAGCAATTTGTAGTTTTACAAGTACACTACACAAACAAGAATGAGTAAACTGTAAATAAACTTTCCCATATATTATCAGTTAAAAATCCACAGAGAATTTCATTTACCATTATTTATAACTATAAAAAAAAACCCTCATGACACACTCTAATGAACAGAATCTTAAATGTCTTGCATTATTTCGGGTCAAGACGTTAAACCSATGGGAATTCTATTGGAAATGAGTAATGAACCATAAGAATGGAGAACGACAACTGACAAATCTCAAACCCAAGCTGAACATTTGTGATGCTACACATGTCACAAAGAAAGCAACCAGTACATTTTTATTTTGGACAATAATGTTGTATATATCTGTTTATAAAGCAAGGCAAATAAAAAACACCAGAAGATTTTCGTATCAGTTTCAAATATAGCAGTGAAATGTCCTGAACAGTTAGAAGAGCACGTAACTTCCTTGCAAGAAAAAAAAAGAGGTGAAAAATTAAAATTCTGAGCATGCAACAAAAACTCCTGCAAATAAAGTAAAGGTCAAATTAAGAACAGTTAATAAGTAATCTCAAAACTTGAACCTTGATCTTATGTGGTCAGCCCATTAAATAAATCAACCTAAAGGAATATGAAATACCAAAGCATACCAAATATCTCTCTGCATTCTCTTTCAGAAAAGCAACTGAATTTATTCTAGCTTCACTCATTTTAACAGGACTTTGGTTTCAGCTGACCTGACCCATTCTTAACTCAGCTCTTCATTTAGTGTAACCTGTCTCTATTAAATATGTCATAAATATATACCTGAAGAGCAAACTCACACCTCCACAAAGGGGCATACCAAACTTTTTCTCTCTGCCTAAAAYAAAAGCAYTRTTGGTTATTCYTTCAAGTGATAGGTATAGRAAAAMAATGGGTACATTGATTAGAATAGTSAGAAAAACCTTAGATCTTGACTCAATTTGCAAGTGATGTATAATAAATGTTGTTTCAATGGCAGCAGAAGGCAAACAAACAGGTAGGTTTAAGATTATCTGGAAAGAAATGGATGAGCTTTTAGTGGCATCACTTTAACAACACATTCTCCTCCTCGCCTACTTCTTAAACATTTCTGCTTACCAGAGCACAACAGATTCTGTTTTTCATACTTTTGTGCATAACTTCCATTCAACGAGAGCTTTGACAGCAGCAGATGCCTTCAGAATTAACTACACCAAGTGCAAAGTCACCCCAAGAACTGATGCAGGAGTCCATCCCCTGCAGCTGTGGCTGCACASGAGCCAGAGCCAAACTTCTGCAGCCCAGAGCATTCAAGGCCCTGCAAGCCCAGCTAGGGCACCCACCCCTGCCCCTTTCTGGTGCTGCTGATGCTCTTTGGATCCAACATCAAGTTTACGAGCGTCAATCCCGGGAAAAGCGATCCGCTTTTTTGGGCAAGCTGGTGWTCTCCCTGCTCGGCCCACTCTGCGAAGCCTCTATCTGGGAGCAGAGGGGGATTCAGCCGCTTCGCTAAAAACTGCAGTGTGGAGATAAGGTTAAAAGTTTCCTGCCCACTAACGGAGGTGAAGCTGCTCCTGTGAGAGCGGGATCGGGAGGGTCAGCACGGACCGGGGCAGGTGAGGGGCCCTCCGAGGCTTCAGCTTCTTGCGAGGTTCCCCGGGCCGCACCGACACCGGGGRGCTCCGGGCGGCTGCAGCATCGCTATCCGCGGGCCCACCGGCACCCGGCACGGCGGGAGGCAGGGATGGAGGGGCAGACAGACGGATAGAGGGCGGCCAGACCAGCGCTCCGGCCGCTCCGGGCACCCAGCACCGCCCGGCGGGAGCTCCCCCGCGGGCTGGGCTGAGGCGAACCCCCGAACCCACCCTGCCCACCCTCCCGGGCACGGGCACAGGCACGGCCGGCTCCCCGCGGCACCGGGCCGCTGTCCCGCCCGCCCGCCGCGCACCTCCCTCCCTGGGGCCGCCACTCACCGGACAGCAGCAGCGAGCTGGTGCCCAGCCTGCGGGCCGCGGGCCCCCGCGGCGGCAGCGAGAGGAGCGGGCAGCGCGGCGCCAGCACCGGCCCGACCCGCCGCAGCGCTCGCCACGCCATCTTTGCCGGGGGCGGCCGGGGGCGGTGCCGGCGGGAGGCGGCGATGGCGGCGGGGCGGGTCCGGGGCGGGCGGCGGTGGCTGAGGGGAACCGCGGGCTGTGAGGAGCAGCCCGGGCCCGGCTCTGCGCCCCGCCGGCAGCGGGCACCGCTGAGGGCATGAGGGAGCCGCCATGTTCCGCGGCGGGCGGGGAGAGGATTCAGCCGAGCCGTGCAACAGCGCGGTGTTTATTGAACAAATACAGGTGCCAAGTCTACAGCAAGTGCACGTGGGACGTTTCGCCTAAGGGTTACCGCTATTTCTTAGCTATTACWCCAGAATAACACGCCGGCAGCGGTTTGGGGGTGAATACCGCGTGGTTTTCCCGGAATCGCGGAATATGCCGAGTTGGAAGGGACCCACAAGGAYCAAAGGCCARTTCCTGGCCCTGCACAGACACCCCAACAATCCCACCCTATGCCTCAGAGCATTGTCCAAACTMTTTGTGAGTCTCTCAGGTGTGGGGTCATGCCCATTCCCTGGGGAGCCTGTCCARTGCCCGAYCACCCTCTGKGTGAAGAACCTTTCTTAATATCCAACATAAACTTCCCCTGACACAGCTCCAGCCATTCCCTTGGGTAAGCCCATTTTAGGCAGAAGCKGTAATAATCTAAGCCTATAATCTAACTAACCACTGTAGCTGATAGCAAACAGGTAAATACTTTGCCCTCAAGCAAAGTGATTTTCGATGTGGTCTTCATTCATTCGCTGACGGGTTGTTCTGGTTGTTCATCTGTGACTGGCTTCTCTTCCTTCTTGCATTTAATCCCAAAGAAACTGAAGAGTTTCATTAGCATTARATCAACAATCTCCTCTTCTTCTGAAGCCTGAAATAACAAGGAGTAAGTTACTCAGAGGTGCACACTCAAAGTGGATTGTCTCTGCTGAAGCTGGAGCAAGTTGCAAGACAAAATCTCTGCTTGAGGTGAAATAAGCCWACTTTCATTCTCAGCAGGAGTGACTGCCAAGCAAAACATCGTGCCAATGTTTTTATCCAAACAGAAGCTCCAGATGAGAATGGACACTACAGAAATTTTGACTGTCAAATCCCGTGGAAATCTTTTGACAGGAGCCTGGAGTGCCCTTGTCAGCTCCCAAACAGCTGGTGGGATATACAATGAGACACCCACAATTTCTAGATGAAGAAATGAAAAAAACTAAATATATCTTGTCTTCTATTGGCCATGTCCTTTGTTTTCATCTCCCTTGACTTTATTTAAAACACAGGGATTCTGGGCTGTACTGTAGTACTAAGCTGGATTTCACACCACACTATCAATAGCTTGAATGGGTCAGACACTCACAGTGAGAGTTTTAAAAGGAGCTGTAAAGCCTCATGCACTTCAGTAGCAGTTTTGGCACCAATTTCAGTATAGCACAGCACAAGCCCAAGAGTTTTTTGTTGGATTTRGTATGTGAACAGAAGGCTACAATTCAGATCTGAACAGGGACTCATCTGAACAGGAATGGACAGTGTAAATCTGGAAAATCTGAAGTGTGTTTTCTGAGCAAATGTTGCCATCTTAAGAGCTGCACTGAAGTTACATGGTTTTCATCCATAGCTGAACATTTTAGTAAACACTAAACAAAAAAATGTTAAAAGCACAAGAACTTAGATGGACAAACCTGGTAGTGCTTCTGCTCCTCACTAAAAGCAACCAGAATCACTGAAATGAATAGATTCAGYACCACAAACGTCATAAAAACGATGCAGGATCCAATTAAAAAGGAGCCTAAAATTGGATTGTAGTCCAAGACCTGTATAATTCATAAGGTAAGACATCATATTGTGATTGTAACCACAAACAAACAAAAAAGCATACACAMATACATACATACATGCATACAGTGTTGGATCCATGGTCTAAAAACATCCACTAAGGAGCACTCCACAGTCTATGTCAAAAAATTATCTTAATCCACTGAGAAATGTTGAAAGGATATTGAAATATTTTAATGACCTTACTCAAAAAGTGCTATGTAAAGAATAACAAAAAAATATTAACATGAAGTTCCTTGTGGAAGGCCTTGCCTTTCTKGGGAAGATAAGAGGGGGTGTTCAGAACAAACACAGGGCTTTGCCCACATTTCTATCATCTGTAGTTTTTAAAGGAAATTAYTCAAAACTTTTTGTAATCAATTAATAACACCTCTAGCTGAAATGTGAGCAGGTTTCTTAATGAAAGAGCCTCCTCAAGGTCAGAATAGGAAAGGAAAGAGATTTCACTTGGTCTTTTTTTTTTGCTCAGCAGAAAAGGTAGCTGCTTTTGGAAGCTGTGGAGCTTGCAAAATTAGATTAATGTTTAACACTAATTGGAAGTCTTTCTGTCTGCTGGGTCAAAGCATTTTTGATAGCTGAGATGCCAMTTGTGTCGTGCCAAACTTCTTAAAATGAGATGCGTTACCTCCTCATAGTTGAAGATTCCCAGCTGGAGACTGACCATGGTCTCTGCCGAATCAAAGAGAGTTTTGTAAGAGTAGAGCTTCCAGCCAAATATCAGGTTTGCCTGCAGAGGACAGAAGTCATATCTTGTGTCATGATAATTATTTTCCACTTATGAACTAGCCAAACTAGAAAATGATACTTTCTGGATAAAGCTTAAATTGTGGAGAATTCAGAATTTTTTTTTCCTGTACTTCATTCTTTGTGACATCTATTACACATAGAGAATCCTCATTTTTAATCTCAGTGTAAGATTTTCCACTAAATTTCAGTTTGCAAAGAACAGACAAGTGGATTTTAACTTCTCTTTCACTCATGTGGAAGACTTGGGCTTTAAGCTGCTAACCTAAGATTTAAACAGGCAGCTTTATTCCATTTTACATGGCAAAGTTGTGTTGCTTTTAGCATTCAGAAATAGTAGATTTAACCTGACTGTGCCTGGAAATGGACTGCAGACAACAGAAAGCACTGTTGTACTCACAGCAATGGAGTAGGCRAGGAACATGATTGCAATAACAGTGATGAATCCAGAGATATCACCCCATGCCCTCCTTAGYGTTGATGTGATCATGTTCAGTTTAGGGTTGAGCCTCAGTAGATGCCACAGTTTCACTGTGGAGAGAAGCACCAGGAATGCAATCAGGTAGCCAAGAACTGCATCAGCTCTCGCTGTTTCACTGAAGCTTACAGAGCTGTTAGAAAAAAAAAAAAGAAAAAAAGAAAAAAAGAAAAAGAAAATGCATAATATACCATGCACAAGAATCCTTTGAAGTGCATAAATGGGTATGATGGAAAAGCCTGTCACCCTGTCCTTGGTTTCAGTGGGGACCTAGTGAGTTCTTGCTACAGTGTTTCCACCTGCCCTTCCTACTGTGTGCACCCAAAAAGCTCAATTGTGCATGACAAGGGTTTTTTTAGGTTTTTTGGGTGTTTTAAGGAGAGGAGKTCTAGGCTGCCCCAAATTCTGCCCCTTATCCTGTGATTCTACCACCTCTTTCCTGGGTGACCATTTTTAAAAGATGTTATAATGTTCTATTCTGTACTAAATAATCCATTACTGTCCTCTAACCAATGGCTTTTTACAACAAAGTAAAAGGCCGATTATGTGCTTTCTGGGTGGATATCCTATAGCAGAAAGGCTTGTTGGTTCACAAGAAGGTGATACAGACAGGAAAGTAAGAGTTAAAAAGGGAAACTTGGTGCTTAAGTCTGCTGGATTTTATTAGAGCAGTATCAGAAGAAAATCATATTGCTGACACAAATCTAAACCCTGACACACAGGCTCCATGAAAACAGCCATCTAGGATAGCATTATCTAGCACAGACAAGCTGCTGTCTGGGAAGAGGAAAAAATAGATTTATTAGTGCATGAGTAGCAATAATAAAGGATGCACTAAAYAGCATTAGTACTTACTCCTCTTTGTGCTCCTGGTAGTAGCTGATGTCTCGGGTCCCAATGACTGTCCGTTTCACAAACACTGACAGAGCACTCCAGCTAATCAATATAATGGCAATCTCTAGGATGTTCCACTTGCTGTGGAAATATCTCCATCTCAGGCTCTTCATCAGCTTTCCCTGTGAGGAGTTTTACTGTTTCATTCTCATGACTCCATATCATACAGTGCACCCCTGGAGATTAGGACAATACCCTCCACAATAAAGCCAATGACTCAGCATCAATAAAACTACATCTTGCACTAGTTTCTCGTATCTTCCTCAAAAGCAGCACTCCAGCCAAATAAACTGTTGCCTTCCTGTTATTTAATACYGACACTGTACTTGATTCAATCTTCCATTGGTGTAGCAGCACCAACACTTCTGAAATCAAGTACGGTGCTAAAGCTTTTGTCAGTGAAATTAATACCAGGCACAAGGCAAAGCTCTCAGCCAAACTTTCCACTAAGCCTCACCTGTACTATCATGTAGTACACAATAAAGAGGAAATAAATGACTTCTGCTGCAACCACAAAGATGTGGAGGCTGTTGGTGTAGGGGTAGAGCCGGACACTTTGCAGCTCCGCGCTTGTGAAGAAGGCCCCTAAAAAACAAACAGGGGTCACCTCAGGCCTCTGACAATGACACMTTTCTGCCTTCATTCAAACAACTCAGCTCACCAGTAAGACTTCTGTACTTGCTTTCACATCAGTGTGAGTCTGAATCCAGCCATCAAAGTAAGRTTTAGACTTGACTATGTGAGTAATCATATAAAAGTTGGAAATTTTCCTCAAACAGGAATTTCGGACAGTCAGTGACTTTTACAGTGGTAGGGCTGTCTTGTGTGATAGCACAATAGTAATCCCAGCAGGGCTGAGTTTGGACTGGACTAAAAATGCAGAAATGTAGCAGAAGGACTTGGAAATTTAACAAAAAGCTGAATCTCATTCTAAACCCAAAACGAGCTCAGTTTTGTGGTCAGTTTGGGCATTTTCCAATACTTGGATACACCCAAAGGAGGCTGCTGCTCAGATCAAATATTTTCYTATAGCCTCTAAACCAGAATCTGCTTTCACTATTCTCTTTGTTGTATCCAGATTA